GGAGGAAGGGAAGCAACTAAGGTTAGTTATATGTCCTCTGGATTTTCATAGAACTCTGTGCACACCCTAACCTGACTCAAGTAGTCACTTCCATAATGTATTAAACTTCCAAGACATCTCTTCCAATTGCCTAATACCCTTGAACTCTATTGATTTTCCTTCCCAATCCTTCTCTTAAATTTGTACTAATATTGAGATAAAAGTAACAGGTACATGTGACCTTTCTTAGGATAACTGCTATTTTTATAAATCTCATCCTTGTAAAGATTGAACACTGGCCTTAGTCTATGCATGGAGAAACTTCTTGGGATTGCCAGCAACCCCAATGGGTAATCAAGAATTTGTTGAGGGGCCAGACTGTGGCATGATGGTAAAACACAATGCTCTGTGAGGCAGTTCTACATGGAAGGTTCTCAGTTCAAGTCTGGGGACCTCCCTGAGTAGAGTGGACAAAGTATGTGCCTGTGATCCAGGACTGACTGAGACTGGCACTGAGACCTGCTGAAGGTGCTCTTTTTGGCTCTTTCTCTTTGTATCTCTGTCTCTCTCATATTAAATAAATAAATAAATATTTTTAAATGGTTCAAGTGAACTTCTGATGCAGCTGCTCAGTCAGGGTAACAATTTCCTTTCTACTCAATGTAGTATGAGCAATGGAAAAGACACCACTCGCACACTGCACAGTGAGGCAATGAGCTGAAAACGGTGCTGAACCCAGTCTAAAGAAAACCAGGCATACTAGGAGGAGCATGGACTTTGAGAGATTGGCAAACTTAGGTTCAAATCCATTGTTTGGCGCTTTACTGTGCAAACTCGAACAAGGTCCTGAAAGTTCTCCTTGCCTATTGAATTTGTATAATACCTCATTCACTGAATTGTGGTAAAGATGAAATGAGTTAATGTATATTCTGTGCTTAGAAAGGTCGAAGGTGGTCAGTAATGATGGCTGCATTTGTTGGTGTTTTCCCAGTCTTGATCATCTGTCAGGAGATCATTGTGCAAAAAAATAAGAGATAAGGCTAGGTCTAATGTGCTTTCCTTTTGTTTTACTGAATTTGGCCTATCCCCGAAGTCTACCACCTTTATGCCCTGAGCTAGAATTCTGGGTGACTTCTGACTTAAGAGGTTTCAAATACCCTAGTTGTTCCCAGTTTTTTGTTTTGTTTTGTTTTTTGTATTTTTTTTAGAGGTTTTTGCTATAGGGCGCGTGCGCTTGCCAGGCAGACAGAGAGAGACAGAGAGACAGAAAGCGAGAAATCACCCCCCAGAGGGGATGGTCACGCCACAATCCCTTCTCCTCCATTCTCCTCTCGGGATCTTGGGCACGCACGTACACGCGCCCGGTGTGAATTTTAAGCCACCTGGTCCGGGACGCGAACCACGGTCAACTACGTGGGAGTCCAGTGACATAGCCATTACGTTAACTGCTGGCCCCTTCTGTTTTCAGACAGTTGAGGAAAACACAAAAAGACCCAAATTCCTGTATGTGGAAAAGCAATGTAATACACCGGAGTTCTGGTCTTGGCTCCCTTCTGGATACCTCCCTTAGAATCTCTGCTTTAGAGTGATCAGGATCACGTGAAGTTAGCATATACATGGAACTTTCTGGTGGATGTGCTATTTTTATTTCTTTATGGATACTTTGATTACAGTTAAAACATTTTGGCGTTATAATGTTTTTTGATTCTAACATTTGTTTGCCAGGCTTCAGGTATCAATGCAGCTAGTAGAGAATAGCAAGACTTTTTTCTTTTTAAATGAAAATAAAATTCACCTTAGTAGGTAGAAATTAACTCAGTAATACCAGACGGTAATTTTGAAATACAATTCAAGAAGCTCTTTCCTTTAAACGATTTCTTTGAAAATAAACCCATAGGCCCAGCAGGTGGCATGGTGGTTAAGATGCTGGACTCGTTCATGGCCGATTGTGGTTCAAGTCCTGGACTTAGCGGCCTGCTTTCTCACTTCCTCTTTCTCTCTTGGTGAGCACACATGCTCAGTAGCAAATTTTTAAATAATAATATGATAAATAAAATTAAATAAGAAATTCTTTCTTTTCTTTTCTTTTTTTTTTTTTTTAAATAGGTTTTTGCCTTAGGGTGTGTGCACTTGCAGGAGAGAAAGGGAAAATGAGAAATCAACTCCCAGGGGAGATGGCCACACTGAAATCCCTTCTCTGTTCTCCTCCCAGGATCTTGGGCATGCACTCACACACGCCTGGTGTATGTTTCAAGCCACTGGGTTCAAGACTCAAACCACAGTTGGCCATGTGGGAGACCAGCGACTTAACTGCTACCCCATCTGCTGGTCCCCAAATAAAGAATTCAAAGAAGCCCATAGATATTATTAGCTTTTGATCATCAGTACTAGCAGTCATCCCCTAATGGAACTTTGGGATTTTCCCCAGGCTTCAGTAAAATGATTATTTCTAACTGCGTGTGACTTTCTGGAAACAGCTATGAGGTCTCTTGACCAGTTTGGCAGTAGAACCTTAGAGCAAATTTTTCCAGCTTCTGTGATGCTCTTAAAGGGTTGTCAAGAGAATCCTTCCACTGAGTCCTTGTGGTCTTCTTTTACTTCTTTCCCCACAAGCCATGGAATTAGACACAGAGGCGCAAAGGCCTAGCACAGTGCAAGTCTCGTGTCGGCACTGCTGGGAGTTACTCTCCTCCCTACCCTCAGGAAGAGCATGCCACAGTTCTCCATCAGCCAAGGGATTCCTCTGGGACTGAATTATCTGTAGTTTTCCCTCTACTCCTACTAGCATTTACTAGAGTTTTATTGATACTTAAGATCACTGAGCGTAATCTCAAAGGAGAACCTAGCCCATTGTTTTTCTACAATTGCATTTACCACAACTGCAGGTACAATAAATGTTGAATTCTTTCTTGTTATCTTCTAGCCAACATGTAAGAGGCCCCCTTTAAATATCTTCTTATGTGTTTGGTAAAATAGGAATACTCAATGGGATTTTGCCAAAATAAATTAGTATTTAGAAATAAAAGTTACTATATGATATAATCTGAGAAACTGTACAGAGGCCTCTAATTAGTTTCATGTCCAAGTGCTCTCCGTTGTATTGCTTTTCCCCCAGTGTTCTAGAAAGGGTTACATTCCTAAGTAAGAACTTAATGGCAGTTCAGGAAATAACCAAATTAAAAGTATCTAACTCAAACTTTAAAGTTTTTTGTAAGACCTATTAGATGCTTCGATATGACCTATGTAAGATACATAGCAAAACATCTGATGCATAGGTACAGATGTAATACATACAGTGTTATATGAGCAACTCCAAACAATGTACCTTTGTACTGTTGAGACTTAAATTTCCAAGCACTAATTAAATTGAGCGGATAAATAATCTATTTCATTCGATTACTTTTTTTTTTTTTCAATCTATTCAGCGAACCTTTGGAAGAGAGCTGTGTGTGGGCCTCCTAAAAGGGGACCTGGGAATTTGGGTCAGAAACTAGACTGGCCGAGCAGTGGAGTTTATGCATCACTGTGCTGTAAACAGCAGGACGGGTACAACTGGCCAGGGCCTGTGAGTGTGGCTGAGTATGCAGGGACTCCCAGTGTTGTTGTTTATGCCATTGGCAAATATTTCTCCTCCAGCCTTCAGCTAGTTTATAGCATTTCATTTTACAGCCCATCATGATGATAGTAACCAACCCCAGAAAAACATCAACAAGCCTTTAGAAACCATAGTGTTGGAGGATGAATGTGACCCCAGAGACCTCTGTTCCATCCCTCCCCAGCCCATCACACACACCCCCACGGTCCCTCTAAGGCTTGGTGGATTTCTCTAGCCAAAGTGATTGCCATGGCCCTTGGGTCAGAGGAGGATATGTGGAGAGATTTTTCTAAACACACACATATAAATGTTGAGAAATAGCACTCTGAAAAAGCAAGAGTCATACACAGACCCCAGCCCCTCTCTGTGAGTAAGACAAAAGGCAGCGTGATCTATAAATACAGTAAAGTGCCTTGAACCGATGAGTCTGCAGAGGGCAGGGGGAGGGGCGAGGTGGGTAAAGGGAGGCAGGAAGGCGGGCTCTGTGACACCAAGCAAGCCCTCTCCCTTCAAACAGCCTCCTCAGACATTTTCCATTCTTGAACAAGGAAACAACAATTACATTTAAGTTGCATTGGTTAAGAACAGAAAAATATAACTTGGCACGAGCTCCCATCCTGGCCTTTTAGAACGGATTGGTCTGTAACACCATACTAAGTCTGTTTTCTATCAGTGGTTCCTAGCCAGCTTATTAAACAGATTTATACAATGAAAGAATCTAATAACAGAAACATTCACCTCCTTTATTACTTGGCATTATTTATGGTTTGAGTTTTTTCAGCTACTTTTTTATGCACTGGAATCTGCCAACATTATACTTATAAAGTTTATGTACTAAAGCATAAGTTGGTTGGGGGAGTAGTGTGCGTGTCTCCTCTCTCCAGCCGTGTGGCCTCCCCCAGCTGAGACTGTGAGGATCTGTGTGTCCCATCCTCTGAGTGTTTTAGCATGGAATCTTCTTTCCTCTAGCAGATCATGATTCCTAGTTCTAGATTCAGACAAGGGTTTGAATTTGTTGTTCCCTACAAGGACTAATGCTCCTTTCAACCTTGGGTTATGGACAGAGGGGAAGAGGACCTTAGCCTATCAGAGAGTGCTTATAAGGGAATGAGATAATCTCTACTGCTTTGCAAATAGCTCTCAAAAGTTTAAAAATGGGAAGGATATCAAGAGTGTCCTTTATCCTCCGCGTTCTTTCTAGGATAATGAAGGTAGTGGCGGAGTAGTGTAAATGTTTTGAGAACTGGCATGAGCAGATAAAAATGCTTGAGTTCTCAACTCTAGTGTCACTTGCCAAGTTGTCCTTTTGTAGAAGAGGTAGCAGGGAGGGAGCCACTTAAAGGTGTATCAAACTATGGACCTGAAGTGTGTGTCCAAGGGGTCATGGCATGACAGTGAGGCCCTGATCGTTCCCTGCCTCACTTACCTTCTGCTTCCCAGCGTTGTCATAGTGTGAAAGAATACATTCAGCCCTCTGTATCCTCTGGTTCCACATCAGTGGACACAGGCGATGCAGCCGGCCAGCACCAATTGTGAAATGAAAGAGGTGGCTGCCAAAAAGAGAGATACTGAGGAAGTTGATGCACATATTGCAGTGTCCTTTTCACTTACCTCCCATGCCAAGATTACTTATAAGGAAGGTAAAGATGATTTAAAGTTTAGGGGACGGGGCCGGCAGATGGTGTGGTAGTTAAGGTGCTGGACTCCCACATGGCCGACTGCTATTCAAGTCCTGGATCTGGTGACTTGCTTTCTCACTTTCTCTCTCCCTCTGGTCAGATTAAAAAATTACAATAACATGTACAATTAAATAAATAGTTATTTTTTTAAATAAATAAAGTATGGGGAGGATGTGCGTATGATATATACAAATACTACGCCAAGTCATATCAGGGACTTGAGCACCTGCAGATTTTGGTGGGGGTGGGGGTGGGGGCAGCGCTGGAATCAATCTCCCAAAGAAACCAAAGGACAGCTATTGAACTTTGATTTGTTTGTTTTCCCTGAGTTTTCAGCTCAGATTCATCTCCTTTCCTGAAGTGTGTCCTCCTTCCCAGGGAAAACACACACATACGAAATGCACTCTAAGCAAAGTCTGGAGCTGGAGAGGTGATCACAGGTGCTTTGGGATTGTGAAGTAGCCACTGTGGCCTGAGTGTGGGTTTATGGGTGGAGAAAGAACTACAGAATACCAAAAGGGAGCAAGGAGCCTCCCATGAATCTACACACCCTTGTGAGAAAGGCCTATAAAGTCAAATGGCAATTTGTGTAAGGAAGCCATAAACACTAGCAAATGAGAATGTCAACGACTCAAGATGAAGGTATAAAATTCAGGGAAAGACTTAAGCAATTTTTCTTTCAAAAGTCGCAGCATTTAGGCTACCACCTTGTGTTTCCTTAGTAAGGAAGCTGTATTGCAGCCATGTGACAGGAATTTGTTGTTGCCTTCCATATGGCAAATAATAATAAATGCAATAATTTAGAAACTAATGAATAAGTGGAACTTGCCATGGACTTGGTGGGTGAATGGATCGAAAGAGATCACATCTTCTCTCTCCCAGCTCCCATCTTTCTAACTCTTCCTCCCTGCTGTGCTTTTATGCATATACACATCTATATCTTTGGCCCACTAACTACTATTTTGAAGGATCCTTTGAGTAATCTAGAATGACACTATCTAAAAGACTCTCCAATCTCTCTCTAGCATGCATGTCAATCATCTTTGAGAGACTAATATTTCTTGCTGAGTCCAGATATTCAGCCAAGCTATGAACCAACAGCTGGAGGTGCAAGAGACATGGAGAGGAACACCTCCATCCCCTCCCTTCTCAGGGCTCACAGTCTTATTGTCGAGACTGGTGTACAAGCTGACCACGGCAGCAGCAGAGACAATGACAGAGAAAGGACTGCCCATTCTGTTGGCCTGTGTGTGTGGAGAGCGACAGCAGGAAGGCAGGTAGAATGCAGAAGAGGGAAGGCTATGTTCCGAATAGCTTATGAGGATCTTCTAGGACATCAGTAGCAGTTTAGCTCAGTAGGGAAGAACTTGGACCCTGGAGCAATCCACTTTGACTTCACATTCCAGCTCTACCTCTTACCACAGATGGTAAACCTGTGTCACCTTGCACACGTTACATACCCTCTTTGTGCCTCAGTTTCTTCATTTGTAAAACAGTATACCTACATCCTAGGGTTGTTGTGAGGATTCAATGAACTAACAAGTGCAGAGCACTTCAAATACTGCCTGCCCACCCCATAAAAAATACTGCCTGGCAGTAAATGCCATGTAACTATTTGACATTATTATTATTTCCACATATATTGTGTGAATGTATATGAGTATGATATCTCTTCTTTTTTATTATGTCAGAAATAATCTATTATACAATACCAAATGCCCAACTTACTTTCTATAGCAGCACATGTAGATTTACCTTAAGACTGATTTTTTAAAATTATTTACTTAATTTTATTTATTATTGTTACTTCATTTTGCTATAGGGCACATGTGCTCACTGGACAAGAGTAATCCATCAGGTCTGGGACTCAAGCCATAGTCAGCCATGTGGGAATCCAGCACCCCTACCACCTTGCCACCTGCTGTCCTGAAACTGATCTTAAAACATTTTTTGTGAGAGAGCACGTGTGTGCACACATGTGTGTTACAGAAAAAAAGGGAGAGAGAGATGAGCATGCTGCACAGGGTCAAGTCATGCCCCGACCCTCTTCCTCCAGTGCTCCAGCCCTTCAGCCTGTCGAATCTTGTTCACCTGCATGTGTGCCCAACATGTTTCAGATTGACCAGGCCTGGGATTCAAACCACTTTTTGTGGGATCCAGCTTCTCTCATTCAAAAGAAAAAATGTATTAAATTTTATTCATAATTACTATTTTTGAATTTGACTGGAGAAAGAAAGTGAGAAAGCAAGCCACCAAGTTCAGGAGTAGAACCGTGGTCAGCCAAGTGCGAGTTCAGCTCCTCAACCACTATGCCACCTGTTGGTCCCAGGGATACAGCTTCTCTTGAGTAGCATGTTACCACTGCACCAAAGAGTTGGCCCTATCTTTTTTTTTTTTTTTTGAGAGGTTTTTGCTACAGGGCGCATGCACTCGCCAGACAGACAGAGAGAGACAAAGAGACAGAAAGCGAGAAATCAGCCCCCATGGGGGATAGCCACGCTGCAGTCCCTTCTTCTCCATTCTCCTCTCGGGATCTTGGGCATGCACGCACACACGCCCAGCGTGAGTTTAAGCCACTGGGTCCGGAACTCGAACCACGGTCAACTACGTGGGAGTCCAGCGACATAGCCATTACACTAACTGCTGGTCGCGAGTTGGCCCTATCTTAAGACTGATTTAAAATCAACTTCCTTTTCATAAATTTTTTAAACTAACCCCATTAGAAGCTAGAACTGTATATGATGGCACCTCTCCAAGATTGAATTTTGCTATGGTTGATAGAGTTACATCCCACACAGTCCAAATTTGGGACCCCAATTTTGGCTGTTTTGATTTATGAAAAAAAAATAGGTATTTGTTTAAGTCCGTATTAGGTCATGTCATTCACTGTTTGGCAAAATTAGTGTGTACTCCTTTCTAGGCTGATTGAAGAACTTGTAGGTTGTTGTACTTAAATCCCCATAAGTTGGGCACAGTGGCACATGCTTGTGATCCCAGCTACTTGGGGTGCTGAGGTAGGAGGATCATGAATTCTAGGCCTGCCTAGTCAACATAGCAAGACCCTATCTTTAGAAATAAGACAAAACAGGAATACAGAGGACCAAAGGGAACTTGGTGTCCTGTGTTTAAGTGATACATTTTAAAAATTATTTTATTTAACTTTATTCATTTATTTATTTATCTATCTATTTATTTTAATTTGACCGTGGCGAGGGGTGAGAAAGCAAGCCACCAGGTCCAGGAATCGAACCACGGTCAGCCATGTGGGAGTCCAGTGCCCTTAACCACCACGCCACCTGTCGGCCCCTAAGTGATACATTTTTAGGTTAGGTGTAAAGTAAGTAGGTCACTTCACATCTCAGCTTCGTAAGGCTCGTACTTCTGCATATCGTTGTGGTTTCTGGGTATACTGTTTCAGAAACCAAGCAGGAGCAGAAAGTCTTTTGAACTCTTGCTCCTAAAACATGGGCCCCTAAGAGGTGTTGGCCCTTGCCAAGTCACAGTGTTCTCCTTGATTCACCCCTTGGGTTACAAGTGGATCCAGCTCTCAGTAAGGTGAGTCTTGGATTCTGCAGATTGTGATTATTTGGTGACTTAGACAGACAGGTCCATTAGACAGGTCTGTCCACGGAAGTGGAGGATAGCACAGGAAAAGTGGTACCAGCCCAGATCGGTTTTCTAGTCTAGTGGATACCAGTCCCCCCAGGCAGATACCCCATATAATTCGCGTCTAGTTCTGAAGTGGCTGAAGTGGTTGGCGCACTGCAAATTGACACTGACCTTGGCTATGTTGGTGGGGTAATTGGACTTTCAGGATGAACTCCCTGAACAATCTCGCCACTGTGGCTGGCACAAACAGGCTTTTCTTTAGCAGCAGACGTTCATGTCTTCTTGCTCCAACTTTTTTTTCTTGAACAAACATATGTATTGTGGCCAATGCAAGGAAAATCCCACTCACCATTTTGATCTGAGTTGCTTCTGTCCTGGAACAATAGTCTAGTGTACCAGGGGCTCTCCAGAATCTGGTTTCCATGCCCGGGTCTCGTTTTGTGAATCTCCTTGGAAGACCCTAAGGCCAGGAAGCCACCAATATTACTGAAGGACCTCCTACCAACCGCTGTGACTTCAGTAGCTTTGTATATGATGGCTTCTGTTTCCATGGCTGGAGGGTGAGATTCAGCGATGGCTTCAGGGTTATGTTGGGAAAATCCCCAAATCAAAGAGCTTTCTAAATGCCTGTGTTTCCTCCCTCCTTCATAACTCAGATGGGCATAACCAACAACTTGCATTCCTCTTTGAGCACCGTCCTCATCCAGGTACGAAAAATGTGTCTCCTGGTGCTGCATCCTAGAGAATAAGCAGTGTCTGAGTGTCAGGTCCGAAGTTCCACACATCTTTAATCTGGGTGATCTCCCCAAAATTCTCTGAGGTTTTTAATCCCTGATTCAGTGGCATTAATCGACAACACTATTCTGTGATAGGCTTAGACTACCCAATGATGAACAAAACAGGCAGTCTTTGGATTAATGGAGGCTACTGCGAGGTAGAAAAAGTAGTTGCTGTTCTTTCTTTCGAAGAGGAAACTGACATTCCAAGAATCAGTACTTTCTCAAGGCCATACTGCTTGTTAAGGGTGGAGCCACAATTTAAACGCCTGTCTGACTCCAAAGACTGTCCTTCTGCTGTGCCATACCACCTTCCTATAGGAAGTTTAATCTGTGGTTCTACTTAAAATATGAGGAAACATCTGGAATATTCGTTTTCAACCACATTTCAGACACACAAAGTGGAGTCTAAGGAATAGCCCAGTTGGCTCCTCTCTGAGAGTGGGTAACAGTAGAGAGGAATTGCTGATCTCAAGCATTTTGTTACCAGAATAACTCCACAGGAGAGGCCTGGCTGAACTGGGATTTGTGTGGGCCAGACAATGCAAGGGATTTATTTCCAAAGTCGGAGTACAGAACTTGGATTCTAGTCCAGTGCAGCATCCTCCCTCGAGTCCTGCTTGCTGAAGAGCTGCAGAGTCTGGCTGCGGACTTTCCGGCCGGGGATAGAGCCCCACAGTGCCGAGGCAGTTAACGATTAAACAAGAAGCAGCCTTTGGCTACAAACCTAATGGTTTGGGTTCCAGGGCACAGGATAAAAATACACAACTGGAAAGGCAAGCTCCCAATTAAGGGGAAGAGCTCGAGCAGGAGATGCTCCGGAGCAGTGTAGCCAGTGACCACATGCGGGCCTGCTGTCTCCTCAGACGGCCTCGCTCTCCCAGCCCCATACTTAGCCTTGGCTCCAGAACGCTGTGGGGGAAATCAGCTGGCAGCACACGGGCTTTTTCTCTTTTCCATTCAAAGAAAATCTCGCTTGCCTTCAGCCCCACAAATTATCTTGCTTGAGTTTCAGAAGTAGAGGGGTCATTAGAGATCTTCTAACCTAGTCCAGCCCCCTGGTTTCATGCCATGGAAACTGAGGCTCAAGTAGAAGAAGTGGCTGGAGTGCAGTCACCTGGTCAGTTAGGGCAGGGAAGAGATTAAAGTTCCTGTCTTCGGATGGCCATCGTCCCCTCTCCGCTCTGTTACTAAGCCGGCACCATTTGGCAGCTCACACCTCTTTCTTTTGCTCCCCCACAAGCGCGCTCTGTCCTCCTCTTTCACAGGAAAAGATACTAAGGCCCAGGGTGTAAGCAACGCCCACAGAACTGAGGAGAACTGATGCCAGAAAGGGAACCACAGAATCCCGACTAGCCGGCCTGGGCCTTTGCCGCCTGACCACATTCCCTCTCTAAGAACATGTTGTGGGAGGACTGGGTTTGGCCCCTTCTGAGCTCCGAGCCTGCAGCGGCCCTCCTAATGACTCTACGGCTCCTGGCTTCCTCTTGCCACCACGTTCCCTTCCACCGCTGCCTGGGACAACCTTACAACTAAAGTGACTTCGAGTCTTGCCAAGACAAGCCCAAGAGTTACTCTCAGACTCAAGTTCTTGCCAAGCCCGAAATAGTAATTGCCTGAAGGGTTCCAAAAAGCTGGGCTTTATCTGCAGCAGAGACTTAGTAAATCAAAACACAGGTCTTATCTCCCTCTTCTTTCCTTGCTGTTGTGTGGTCTCCTAAATGAAAAATGTTACCTAATTGCCTGAAACAGCTGGCCTGATGTTTAATTATTTCAGCTTACTAACCTGGTATTCTGGGCCAGTAAGCGGTACACAGGGACTGGATAATGCTCTTTACAGATCCTCCTGGTCCAGGTTTCCTTTGTAAAAGCTGTTGATTTCAGCCGCCAGAGGGAATTCCACATTTGAATGCCACTAGTAAGAACTGCGTTTGTCTGATGTTGGAACTCCTCCTCACTCATCTGAGGAACAGTTTGCTTAGAAGTACCTTTAATCCTCTCCCAAACATTCCAGCAGCATGCCCTTCTGCACTCCTGCACAACTCACATGCACTTTGCTCCGAGGCTCAGTCTGACCCTCAGCCCTGCAGTCTCACTGAAGGCAGAGCTTCCCAGATAGCAGACATCCATGGAAAGGGCAGCACGGTGGTTTTCACTGGAGAATGACAGAGCAGGATCGTGGGCCCACGAACTCCAGCGATACTTTGCTGCCTCCTCCCTCACCTGGAGGACTCTGCAGCCTCTTCCCTCCATGACCTCCCCATAAGGATCCTGGATTCTGACCTGGCCAAGTGACTTGCAGTTCCCTGAGCCTTTTATGCCCTCATGCCTTTGCTTATGTTAGTCCCCAAGATGTCCCAGTAAGACTCCCTTCTCATCTCCTTTTGCAACCCATCTACCCAGTTCCACCTACTTCTCTTTCACCTCAAATAGCAACACCTTTGCACAGCCTTCTCCTTAATGCCTTGGTAGGCTCAGAGGGTCCCTTGGCTAGTGTCTTAAACTTAGCTCCATGGCCCACCTATTTCCTTCCCTAGTTCACTGAACTTCTTCAACACTAGGACTTTATCTTTTCATTTGTGATTCTTCATTGCTTAGAAAGTTGTCTATTATGGAGCAGGTGCTTAGGAAATATGTGCTGGGCCAGTGTTGTAACCCTGTTAAGGGAACCAGATCCGACTTTGCCACCTTCAGTGTGAATCCCAGATCCCATTGTTTGAAAAATGCACTGGGGGGGGACCAGCAGTTAGCGTCATGGCTATGTCACTGAACTCCCATGTAGTTGACCACGGTTCAAGTCCTAGACCCAGTGGCTTAAACTCATGCCGGGCACGTGTGCATGTGTGCCCAAGATCTCGAGAGGAGAATGGAGGAGAAGGGATTGTGGCATGGCCATCCCTGGTGGTGGTGGGGGGGGTGATTTCTCACTTTCTGTCTCTCTGTCTTTGTCTCTCGGGTGAGCGCATGCCCCCTGTAGCAAAAACCTCTCCCCGCCAAAAAATTGCACTGGGCATCTGTGCATGCCCCAAATCTCCACAGAATAGAGAGATGGAGAAGGGGTTACAATGTGACCCATTGAGAGTATGTTTTCTCCCTCTCCCTTTCTGCATCTCTGGCAAGTGCATGTTACCTCTGCCAAATTTTTTTTAAAAAGGAAATATGTGCTAATGGGAAGGAAGTATGTTTTGAAGAAGAATCTAAGAAGTCATTCTTGGAATAGCAGAAGATATGGTTTTATAATTTGTGTATGCTACATAAGGTATGTATGATTAAAAAGAAAGAGAGACAAGCAGATGGCATAATGATTATGTTGCTGGACTCCTACATGGCCGACTGTGGTTCAAGTCCTGGACCCAGCAGCTTGAACCTCATGATTGGCACACATGGGTATGTGCCCAAGATCCCCAAAAAAAGAATGGAGGAAAAGGGATTGCAGCATGGCCATTCCCCTAGGGGGTGATTTCTCACTCTTTAGTTCTCTGTCTCTGTCTCTCTGGTGAACTTAACATGCCCTATAGCAAAAAACAAACAAACAAACAAACAATATATATATATATATATATATATATATATATCCAAAAGAAAAAGAAAAGGAAGAAGGGAAGGAAAGGGGGAAGGAGAGGGAGAGAATAAGTAGAAAATAGATACGGCGTTTTCAGAAAAGGAAGCCATGTCTTTGGAGTGGCATGGCCCCTTCTCTTAGTCAAACATCTGCCTAGGCCGACGTGCAGGACAGTGTATGCTGTGTTGGATTCCTCAGGGTAACGTGCAACAATTCCTGCCATTTAGGTTTATTAAATTAACAGTTTCAATTTAAATTATGTTTAGCTGTTTTCTCCCTAAGGAATTCCTCATGTATTTGATCGATTTTTACGGAAGGCTTACCCCAGCTATGGCCCGTCCTTTGTGAAACCATTGCCATGTGATCTGATGTTCCTTTTTCTCATCAGACATGATGATAGCGTAGAGTTTGGGAGACTCGTATATTCTTGTGTGTGCCCCATACAACAATTGCTTTCACTGTTTTGTTTTCTTAAAAAATTTAGGCTTCTAAAGCGTAGTGTTTTTTCTCTGAATTTAATATATTTCTGCATATATCCATTATATTATATTTAACTATTTCCCCCAGGTCGTTGACCGATTTTTGCATCTCATTGCCAGGCTTTTAAGAGGCCACTGCTCCCATTTCTTCAGCCATCTTCACTAGCAGAGGACAGAACAGAAGGGCCAGTGAGGGAGGGAACTCTTCTCCAGATCCCACCTCATATGTGTACAACGTAAAACATTGTAAAGGCAACTTTGCCTGAATAACAGGTGACATGCTTTCTTTACCGCTCCTGAGTAAAAAGTCTTCCTCAAATACTGCCTGTGAGCCAGTGCTGAGAGTTAAGCCTGATGAATTAGATGGTTCTTGGCTTTCAGGCCTGGACCTGGGAGGTGCAGCTCTGAGTGACCTGGAGGTCTTCATCGATAGTAGGGTGATTGGGACCCTAGAAGCGGGTTCTGTGTCGAGATCTGGGCTGATGGGCTGGCTGGTAGTGGGGCCTCCATGTCAGGTTGGGAATCCAGCAAGGCCCCTTTGGGTGGGGCAGGAGAGGCATGAATGACAGGGCAAGGGACAGCCTTGTTCCTAGAGACCTGAAGCTGATCAAGGCAGGGACCCAATGTGTAGGTTGGAGGACTGGTTTTCAGGGATAGGACAGAAGTCTGGTTACTAGAGCATGGCCACACTGTCATAGCCAGCCAAGGGCCCTGCCACAGGGACCTGGTGTGGAATCTCCTCCCTCCACCCACCTCAGGGGAGACTGGGACAGAGAGTCCAGGGAGGTCTGAGGTTGGAAGGAACCAGGCACTGCATGGCAGAATGCCCCGACTGAGACTGTGCTGGCAGGCCTGGCTGCCAACCCAACAGTGAAGGGACGGCAAGGGCTGTGTTGTGCTGCAGGTGTCCCAGGACATGGACAGCAGCAGCGAGACCTGCCTCCTACCCCTCTGCTTCTCTCCTGCCTCCCTCACACCCGGAGTCAGGCCTGGCTGATAGGGACACAGACCCACGAAGAACGATGTCTTGGAGAGTGGCTCAGCTCACTGGGGCCAGTCCTTCCTGCAAGATGCAGGCTGTGACCAGGGAATTCCACCCAGGCAGGAACAGGCGTTCCAGGGGAAACTGACTTTCCTACATTTGACCCTTCAGCCTCGGGCTCCAGAACCTGCAGTGACCTATCTGTGTTCCTCGGTGGCAACTTCTCTCCCGTCTTCCTTTCCTATTTTTGTAACCAGTTTTTCTCGACGCCCACCCAGACAGCACCATCTCCCTCTCCCATTGTCATCAGCAGCCACACCCTCCTCTCTCCCTCCATCTGGCAAACGTGGACACTCCTAAGTGTCCCGTAGCATTGACAGGAGATGCACAGCTTAATAGCATGTTCAGCTGCAAGTGGACCAGAGGTCATTTCCCATATTTCTCCCCACCCGGCCTGTGGGGAGGCCACAGACTCATGTTGAGGTTCTGAGGAACGCTCCTGTTTCCAGCCAGATTTGTCCACCTGCAACTTTGTGCTGGTGTTAGCAGTTTCATCTCCCGTTATTAGAGTCCAGCTGCAGTGCCTTTGAAGTGGGTCCTGTAATGTTAAATGTTAACTCTAATTTCTTGGCCTTGGCTGGGGAGTGCATTCCTCCTTGGTGGCACGACACTAACTACGGTTAGATGGGCTGTGTTCTAGCTGACCACCTCAGCGCTTGCTTTTGCTCCCATGGTGACAAAGAAAGAGCTTTATATCATGCATTGTGAAACTCAGGTTTTAACCTGGTTATGCCAAGAAGTTGTGTGGCCTTGAGAAAGCCTATTCTTTTCTGTAATCCTTCTTTTCCTGCCTTGTAAAATGCTAGATACAAGGGCTGGAAGAGCTCTAAAGCCCATTCCACCTGTGTACCTGTGATTCTAAGATTCAGAGAATGCACAGCGGTTTCTCCCTCTGCCTCAATGAGCAGAGGGAGAGCCCCTCCCATGATGCCTCTCCATGTGCACTTCCCCGTGGTGGCCAGGATCTGGGACTACGGGTCAGGCGTAGACAACCTGGGGTCATTCTGACCATTTGAACTTGAAATCCTCAGAGAGTTGTTTACTCTAATAAAGGGCATAATATCGGAGATATGACACCCCCTATATCAAACTCTATCATATTAAGGAAACCTTAGAACTCAGATCTACAGTCCAGCTTGATAATTTACAATTCTGCTGGGATTAGTATGAGAAATAATTATATCTATTTATTTATTCCACTGTCAGAATGTTGATGCTAGGTTTTCATACTGTCTTGTCACTAAAAAATTGTAATTAAATAATATGTCAAATGTATTGATCATATTCTTATAAATTTGTTTGATGTGCTGCAAAGGCCTTTTGTTGTTACAGTATATCACAAGATTAAATTCAAAAGTTTGCCAGGCCATCTATGTCTGTTTGAGATATTTTTCCCCTTGAATAAACCACATTTTTTTGATGACTTGTCATTTTGACATTAACGAAAGTAATTTCCTTGTCCTCCCTAGTATAGTACTGTATCTCTTTTAGCCTTTGGTTAGATTAAATAGGTATAATGACATTAGAATGAAAAATAATATGTATTTTTGAAGGTAGATTTTAAATTTCCTTTTGTGCATCAACTCAGAATTTTTTCAGAGAACAGTCTATTTTTTCTATGCATTGATTAAAAGGTTTGCAGTGGAATCTAAATTCAGGTCTCTTTTACTCTAAAGCCCCCCTTTCTTTAAAAAAAAAATGTTTTGCAGAGGTTTTTGCTATAGGGTGTGCCGGGGTCCAGCCTCGGCGTGGGTGGGTTATCTCGACGAAGGCAGCAAAGGTGAACAGAAGACAGAGGCCTCGATGCCTTTTATGCACGTCCTATGCCGGACACCCCTCAGAGATCGCTCTCTGAGAAGTGACGACTGCTAGGAATCATCGTGCGTTTTTATTGAAA